ATGACATAGAATAGGCAATGTGTTTTTGTTGGCTTCTCTGGCGAATGCTATTAATGAACAGGTGTCACATTGACATCAAATAGATAATTAAAAGTTATTAAAACACGATTTTATTCCTTATTTTCATTTATCAGTCAGTTAAATAGGAAAAAATGATGAAAAATTATTTGGAAAAAATATTCCATATTAAATGTCAAGTCTGTATAAATAGATACGTTTTGCTTTGTATTCCATTGCCTGAAACCCTTATGAAATAGAATATGTGAAATGTTGTCAGGTGCAGTAAAATAAATTTTCAGAAGTACATTAACTGGAATACAGTAATGTAAACGAAAAAACTGTCAATTAACTTTATTGCCACCAATCAAAGTCCATATTGATTATTTTTGTTCTCCTACAGAATGCAAACAAACCAACTAACAAAAAAAAAAAAAAAAAAAAAAAAAAGATTGGCAGTTGTTTGATTTTAAGTGGATTTTTTATTTATCGCTATATTTTCTTTCTTTAACTAAGTCATTTGTGACCGTCACTATGAAGCTGACGGAGCGATTATGCTCTGCGAGTAAATCAGCTGACGGATGTTCAAGATTGACAGACAGTGACGCAGCCATGACTGGGTTGTTTACATTTGATGCCTTGACTGGCGCCGGCCTGCAGAGCCATACCACGTCAGCCGAGGTCTGCACATGTAACCAGGATGGATGTACCAGACCAATGACAACAGTTTCCAGTGCATCTACGACCACGACCACACCAACAGGATCATCTACGACCACGACCACGCCCACAACGTCATCTACAACCACGCCCACAAAATCACCTACGACCACGACCACGCCCACAAAGTCATCTACGCCCACGATCACGCCCACAGAGTCATCTACGACTACGACCACGCCGACAAAATCGTCTGCGACCCTGACCATGCCAACAAAATCATCTACGATCACACCCACAACGTCAACTACAACCACGTCCACAAAGTCATCTACAACTAGGCTCACGCCCTCTAGTATCACCCAAACGAGAGTGACACCTGACAACCATGTGTCTACCACGCCCCATTCTACCAACAAGCCAAAGCACTATAACAGCCTACCGGCCACAGTTAAGTCGACAAAACCCACACATTCCACGACGATTTTGTCTTCGAAATCTACCACAGGAATTAAAGAGACCAGTTCAAGTGCCGTTACTGCTACACACAAGCCTCAAAATTCAAGCAGCTGCGGCGTGTGCAGTCTGGAACTGTTGCTAACCACCCTGATGGCTGCAATGAACTGCATGTTATGGTGTTTGTATTAAGATGGCAATTGGTACCAGTACCAATATACATGTATGTGACTTTTATGCACTATTATGCACTGTACATTGCATACCTCTTTTGGACCATACTGTTGCATCGCAAAATACATGTACTTCACCCCGTAGAACTTAAAGCAAAGATAATATATTGTATATATATACATGTATCTTGAATAGAAATATCTACGTTCGTTAATTTTTTGACAATATTATATGTTTCTATTAAACTCTGAAAAAACTCTAAATTCTGTAAATGATGTTTTTGTCTTATATATATCATATATATAGATATATAGGCGAGAAATGGGCTACTTAAAAAAAACTTAATTCAGTTCCCTGGCTAAGTATATGTGAACGTGCCCATGAGAGTGTTGTAACATTGTTCCTGATAGGGTAAGATGTGTGCATGTGTCCATGAGAGTGATGTTACAAAGATGTCAGCCACTGGAACTTTTTTGTGTGAAACTGCAGAACCGATGCTTTAGTTGGGAGTGTTTATTTGCTATTATTCCGTGTCAATAAGTTCTCCGTTACAATTATATCCTTTTTTAGCGTCAGCCAATTTTTTTGCATTCGAATATTTCAATATCGTATAAGACAGGATGCGTATAGATTGTGCAACATACACTGTAAATGCACATGTAGCTGATGCTGGGGTGGTTCTTAACTTAACAAATGTGATTATAATTGTCTCTATTCCGTCTCATGGCGTTTTGTGTTGTTGTAGAATGAGCTTAAAACCGTGTTGATTTAGATTGAGTGAAGTAATAAAAACACTATCATGATTTAAGAAATACTTTGTTGAACACCGGTATAAATCGGGGATCCACCGATTAGATTAGATAAATGGGTGAACGAATGGATAGATATTTTCAGGATCTTACATATTAGATTTAAGAACATAATCTGGATCTTACATATTAAATCCCGTAGACAACTCGTGAAAGTCTCCAACCATATTTATAATGTGGTTTTGAATAACAAATGTGCACAATGGAAATTGTCGGACTTAATGCGAGGAGTAATTCAACCGAAAATCAAGTTATTTGTCATTTGTCTGCGAATGAAACAAAAACCGAAATAAAACCTTCAGCGCTCTGAACGTATAAGATAACATGACCCGAAGGTCGTTCTGTCATTGATAGTGGAATTTTAACGATCAAATACAACCCTGCACGGTTGGGAGGCAAATCGATCATCAAACTGAAAGACTTAATTCAGACGTTTTAGTTCTTTCGTAAACATTGTTAAGAATTAGACTTGGCTCCCACACCTAGATCGATCTAACAGGATCGATCCATTTCCTAGGCTTTTCTCGCTAAATTACTTTCTGCTTAAGCGGCTTAGATGTCTGGCAAGTCTACTGAAGCTGCTATACGATAATTAATAACCCCCTAGCACCTCCAGTAGGCGTGCCAGACATCTGTTCCGCCTAAGTTGATTGCAATTTAGCGAGAATCCCCTTGGAGATAGATAGATCCACAGTTAGTACGATAGGGTCTGGGAATGGTCCCTGGCAGGTATATGTTTACGTAGATTTCAATGTGAAAGCGGACCAATTTGGCCCACAATCATTTTATTGATTGCGCAATTGTAAACCTCTTGGGTCGATCTGAATGAAGTTCGTTTTTCAAACCGCGCTCAGTTTTTTTCGATTGGTATTAGTCGATATTTACATTGCAATATGCGCACGCATACTAGTACATGTACAAGAATAAATTTGCTGCAGTGTCAGTTCTTGAAGTGTGAGAACTAAGAATCCGTAATGAACTTATGGCAGGCTTTTTGTCTTTTATATTTTATAGTTATTCCGAATGTTGGTAAGTACCAGTAAAAACGTGAGGCTTTTCACGAAACTAAAAGATAAAAAAGTTGCATGTTTGTTAGTACATGTATGAGAGCATTCACAACAGCGGACTGACAGAATCAAATATGGCCGATCAAATATGGCCGCCCCACTTGAATGCTTATTGCGTAATCCCCGCTCTGAATCTATTCAGTGTCTAATCGAGAATTAAGCAGCAAGCTTTTTTATAGTCCTCTGTTCTGATAGCATGAGAGCCTTCTTCTTTTTCGGACTTGTTATACCATAACCAACAAATACATTGTTTTTCAATCTGTTTATCCATTTTCTCCATCTAATGGCAACGCCTTCTGACTTACAGTCAAATTCATGATAAGTGGGTATCTGTATAGATGGGCTCGCCATTGTGACTGTTCAACGAGTTACACTGCGTTCATTCAATTACGCTATAGTCAATGTTTATATATATTCTTACTTGTTACTTTCCTCTCTTGTGAGACTGCTGCATCCTTGTCGCCAGATATGGTATTGTAACAACAATTTATATAAAAGATTAAAATATTTATTACTGAATTAAAAGTCCATGTATCACATGCCACGTCGCATCCCCACTTCCCGCTTCACACTCATGACCTGTGACCTACATCACGTGGCTTATTACATCATTACATCACAAATGTGTTCTATGAATGCTACATGTGCCGCCGGTACAAAATGTATCGGTGTATATTTGACACACAGTGGTGTTTGTTATGACACGCAAAGTGATGCATCGGATACGTCGATTATTAATAACGACTATTTTGATATATTCGTTTTTATTTCATTAAGACCTTGGACGAATGGGGCTTAAACAAATTGTATAAAACGATCGATTTTAATGACATGCTCAAACAACAAAGCTGGTTCTGGTCGACTAGTGTTGCTGTCACTTCTGTTAAAGCTCGAGTTTTCTGCTTGTGTGCCTGCTTCAGGAACTTAAATTCATAAAAATCCACGGAGAAGTCCTGAAGAAGGCACACTAGCCGAAAGCTTGGGCATTTTTTATCTAGCATACAGCTACAGTTGATCTTTATATAAATGTCTTATACAAGGCCATCACGGTGTTTTGATCAATCCTTTCTATTAAAGTCAGCACGTGTAAGATTTGTAAGATAATTTAAAAGCCATAAATTTATACAGTGTGCTGATCTTGTCATTCAATTAATCAATTAATAGAAACATTAGTCCATCATCGTGTTTTTCAAGGAGCACTACAATGCGTAGATTGTATGTATCTGGAGGGTAATGAGACGAGTGCCATAGCCATTATGAACCAAGCTTTACAAGCTGACCCCCGCTGCATGGACAGCCCGACCGCTATAAATGTCACCAGAAATTGCAGCGAAGCATGTATCCAGTTCCAAGTTAACATGGTAACTGTGTACGAATCGGTAAATATGCGTATTTTATATATTTAGTCCTGCTAAGATAAAAGCTGACAGGTGAGAATGTCGGACTGGCTCTCTTTAATATGAAAGTTGTCTCACATTTCACTGAGTGTTTTTATTACCACCAGTGCGTGTACTGTACATGTAGGCCCTTTACATATTTATATGTAATTATTAAATAGGCCTATGAAGTGGTTGCAACATAATTAATGCCATATCAATTTTTGAAGAAACACCTACTCGCATTGTGTGTTTTTCCTAAGCGGTTCTTTTCTTTTGATTTTGTTTTGATTACAGCTGACAGTTACATGTACATTGTATTATCGGCTATAGTGTCTCTATAATTCCAATAGTTGACCCTTGCGTTCAAGTACCGGTGATGATTTTTAGAAATGAAATAAAGGATGAAACAAAAACTGCAACACCACAAGTTTGTTCGATATCTTTGTCAAAGGAACCCTATGGTGCCACGTGAGGAGGTGGTGTTGAAATAATCTTTAACTGCCTTCAAATAATTTTAAGTCAACTACTGTCCTTATGAAATGCAATATAATTTTTAAGTATAAGAAAATCGTCGGCATTTACACCTCTGTAGCCTAACAATACCGGTACAGTATGTAACAAATGTTTTTCCTTTGCAAAATGTTCGATTCAACATACTGTCCTACATAATTACACATCGCATTAATACGGATTGTGTATATGTATGAATTCAGTTTTTTAACTTAGTTTATATTTATTTTACATTGATTGCAGCCATCCCCAGTGAGAGACCTGCGTTGAATATCATCATTCCTTGTGCTTCCGTGGGCATCGTTATCATAGTTTCAGCAGCAATAGTTTTTATCTGGGCACTACGGAAAGGCAAAATTCTTAGAGTAAAGTTGACTGCAAGAACGAGAAATTTTGAAGGCGATAGTAAGTTTATTTTCTCACTCCGTGGGGCAGGCACTACAAGATTTGCAACTTTGATTTCAACGTGAATAAGATCTTGGCGTTTGACAATTGCTGTTCGCTATTTTGTTTTCTAATTGTGCATGCGTATATTTTTCATGATTTCATTTTCAAGAAAACAGCTCGAAGGCCTCATTGTCATTTCCACCATCTGTATCTAAAATGCTTTCTAGAAGGTTTCAGGTTGCAAGACTAAAACTTTTAATTCGCCCAGTGTTTGTCATCAGTTTTGTAAATAATTTTAACTAATATTTTAACAAATTTAATTTTATAACATTTAATGGAAAATTATTATTATTATTGTTATTATGTAATCGTTGCTTGAATTGTTCCAGATGATTTGAAAGAAGGAGACGCCGAAGGTAAAAAATAGCTGCCGTTAACGATAACCCTTAGCGTTATAAGACAATAGTGATTTGCATTTTGTATACTGACAAATGTTGTCCAAACGCGTTGGTAGAGAAAAAGGTAGAGAAAAACAGACATGGATTCTGTTTTATTTTAATTTCTTATTTCATAGTGGTTTAAGACCAGATATTAAAGTTAAGACTGAAGGAAACTCAATAAGACGGACAACTGTTTTTAGATTATGTTTCTGTTTTTAAACAGCATGCTGTATGACTTAAACCCTGTCTGAAACTCCCGCCATCGTCAAATGTTTCGTATCTATAACAACGTATTTAATACAAAAATTTTCCTTCAATATCCATGTTCAGATTTCTAATGATTCATATTTATGTTAACGCTCTCTGCCATAACTCTTTCAGATGAGTGGAGAGAAACCGGTGAAATAAAAGGTAATATTCGACATCTATGACGGTAAATTAAAGCAATTCTTTAATTGAGAGTCAGTCACCAGGAAGCATTCTGCAGAACGTTAAACGTTGTGGTAATATGTGCTGTCAAAACGTGTTGAGTTTCTCAATGAAAAAATGGATTAATATACAATATTCGTATGTTGTTTCATCTTGGTAACGTCGAACATTTATGAGAGTTTAAATATTGTTGTTAAAACTAAAAAGGGGTTAGTTAAGAAGGTGAAATGCTTACAGACCATTTGCGCCTGCAGGGTTTACCCTGAATACTGTTTGTTGGATGAAGAATTAAAACTTTATATTAAAATTAAATCTTAATATTAAAATCTTTCAGTCTGTTGATTGTGAGAAAATGGTTAAATTCTTTTTGGTTGATACCCTGTTATTATCTTTTAATTTATAGATTTGAACTTAATTCTTACGTATATATATATATATATATATATATATATATATATATAGAGAGAGAGAGAGAGAGAGAGAGAGAGAGAGAGAGAGAGAGTAGCAACTCCATGATTTAACTCTGTCATGCTCTAATATCAAGCGTCTCTTTTTTCTAGGATTCTACTATCATGCCTTTATTTCGTACAATGAGTACGCAAAAGAGGACAAAGCGTTTGTGAAAGGGAGGCTAATACCAGAGTTGGAACGCCGTGGTTTTAGAATATATAAACCCGACGAAAGGGTCGGGGATATTGCAAGACGTAAGCGGAATTTCATATTAATGAAAGATACAAATGCTCAACTCGTGTAGTTAACAAATGTGTTTATTTGCAGCCATAAGATTGAAGTCCATACGTAAGCTGCTTTTTTAATGTTGAAAGTTTTCCATTATTTTTGGGTTTGAAAGAGGAGTTTGAAGCACAGGGTAATAACCCTCGACCATTGTTCTCAAACAATACACGCTGTATGTGTGTGTGTTTATTATCAGAGTAAATCATTCAAATTTGTACATTTTGTGTATTTCCAGAAAAGGAAGACATTGGCATTGAAGCCAGCAGTCGGTTCATCATGATCGTCTCACCGCGGTATTTTGAAATGGAAGGCGTGAATGACCAATGTGGAAGAGCAAGGAAAAAGCTAAACGACGACAAAATAAGAATAATTCCAATAATTTTGGAAGATTTCGACCGCAAACTGAAACAAAATAAACAATATGCGTCTGTAAGAGAACTAATGAAACAGCCGCGTTTTGAAAAACCCAATGAAGACGCTATGGATAAGTTTTTTAATGACATCGTGGACTTCATGCCAATGCTTGAAAACCAAGCTGAAAGAGCTGATAGAGACGGACTGCACCAAGAACAAATTGAATTAGATGTTGAGATTAATGGCAACGGGGGCGAGTGATATTGATATATCTTTGTCTATGTTTGCATCAAACAGGCTGTATGTGGAACTGAAAATCGGTTGCACAGAATCGTTGAGAAAAGTTCTTATTTCCCTGCCAATGACATATACCACTTATGTTACAACTATACTTTTTATTTGCACGTTATTGAAATAATTTTGAATGAATAAACATCATATGGTATGGCGAAACATTGTGTGAAGCTTTGTGTTTATTTTCCCCGACTCTTAAGTATGATTGTTAAAAAAATCGAACCCATTGTTCTCAACCAGCTGTCTACAGCGTATAGGTAATGACATGAAAACCGACCTACTGTGGTTGAAATGTTCAATAACCGGTAGAAAATGTCGTTATCTTATGTAAATACGCCTCGTCAAGTATTAATAGTAAAAAACCAAAAATCAATAAAGTAGATTAACTGGTTCTAATTATTTCGCTAAAAAACACAATTACTGCAACCGGGGGGAGCGTTTTAAAAGACACTTAAATTTATTTGTATAGTAAATCAATGTCTTATTCAATGGCTGGTATTATAGGCGCATTGATTCGAAGTAAAAACGTGTACTACATGCACTTTCTTTGCTCTGTGGCTTAATGCATTTAACACCCAGCATGCGACAGCTGTGTACGGCTGCAGTGTTTCTTCTCGTCACATTCAACCGCAGAGGTAAGGTAATCTCTAACGTGGTCACAAATAAAACAGTCACGTCTCGTTAACATCTGATCATGTCTAAAACATGTGAAATTGTAGCAAAGATACTTTTATGTGTACAAACGCCATTCTTTCTGGGACAAAAACATATCAACAAAAATCCCATGCTATTTATCCTTGCTAACGAGCAGACAAAGCAGTGAGCCACATATCAAAATTAGTTACCGCCCGGATCCAGATTTATACTCCGCGGATGGGGTAGGGGGGCACACATATATATATATATATATATATATCAGCTAAATTTGATATCAACACAGTGTTAAATTTCAGTTCTTGGCATTCTGTGCATCGACTGCAAATACCTTGAGATAGATGGCGTTAGTGTGTTGGGTCCACTAGGAGACGTGCGCTGTAATAGCAGCCACACGACCGTGAACACGACCGCCGAGTGCAGTGAAGGCTGTGTACAGATGGGATTTTCTTTTCGACATATAAATAAACAGGAGGTGAGTTAAACAAAAAATGTCGTAGGAAATGATGTAATCAAAGGGGTGGGTGGGGTGGGTTTTGGGGCGTTAACATTTATTTATTTATTTATTTATTTATTATTCTTTTTTTTTTTTGAATGTAAAAAACTTAACTGTACTTGTAGAATGGTAAAATCTCAAAAAGTGATAAATATTATGTAGCTCTTTGCTACATTTCGTTTACAAGCCTTTTTATATTTTTTATTCACGTTGCATTCTTGTAAAGTCTACAAGAACAAATTTAGATAAATAAATCGTTTTTATTATTATTGTTCTTCTTCTTATTATTATTATGCAAATTTTATCATTTGTATGTTCACAGAACCATACGGTAGCCTATAGCTTACGGTATTGTGCCGCAAAGCGCCCCGAGGGAGACGGATGTCGTTACATGACTGGGGATTACGCGCGAAAAGGCTCAACGGATTTGAGAATGATAGGATTCGAGAGGTTTTTTAGTTACTTCAGAACGGGAAAGTTTGAAGATTTTGAAGGTGTTGAATGCTACTGTAGTGATGAAGACCGATGTAATGCTGAAGTGAAGAATGTTAACCCGTTGCCGACTGGTAGGTGGTGACACACACACAAACACACACACACACACGCACAGAGGATGAGGCAATGGTAATTCACGGATAAGTGAAAAAATGGTGAATGTAAATGTATTTGTATTGTTTGAGCAAATATAACTGTTCTTGAAAAACAGATTCGATGTAACATGGCGTGCAGTTTTCATTGTTCAAATGTCGACTACTAGATGTTTTTTTGTTTTTTTTTTGTTTTAAATATCGAACTGAATGTATCACTGATGCATTACGTATTTCTTAGACTGTAATAATAAAATGTAGACTTATTTTATAACGACTTATTGGTATCATAATTGATAAATCAATTGTATTATTTGTTGTTTTCAATCATTCGATATCAAAGCACATCATGTTACGTTTGTCATCATTTATTATTCGTTTTATTTCATCTATCATTGCAGCTATTGTCAACTCTTACCTGCCATGGGCCATCATAGCGAGGGTTATAGCCTTGACACTAGTTATCCTGATTGCAACCGGTCTTCGAGTGTGGTGTCTGAAGCATCCTAACAACCTCTATGTTCTGAAGTGGAACTACATGTTTTTCACCAACTGGCAATGCTGTTTGTTATATTATTTTATAGCAATTTGCCTCATTACCCAAATATTGCAATAGTGACATGTGATGTTCGTGTACACAACGTATTACTTTACTCTTCGCGCATTTATTTAAGTTTATGTTGGTATAGTTAAAAATCGAAATACTTGTTTGTTTCACTTTCACTGGAAGTAGGAAACCTTTTCAGAAATACATTCAGGAAATAAGAAAGTTTATTTATGAAAACATACTGTCAAAATAAGTTGAAGAGAAAACACATTCCTAATTGTTGCTAATATTTTCTTTATTCATTCCGACAGGTCCTGTGAGGGATGATGCTTTGTGTGTTACAAAGAAGGATATCTGTTGCCTTTGTTCACTGGCTTGCTGTTCACCGTGTTGCTGTAAGTAATAAGAAGACAAATCTGTAATAAAAAGACAAAGTATGCTTACATAACTGGCAAAAACACCTTTCGGGCTTAGAGCACATTATATATATGTAGACATGTCACAGGCCAGATCCCAATCAAGTTTACTACTTAATCAGCCTAGACCACATCACAATATGGTCTTTGCATTGTTAAAAGCAAAATGACCATATAAATTGTCCAATTAATTTACAGGTGCGCTGCCAGTTTGTTTGCATGAAAGGTGTAGTGAAATAGGGGATGTCATAGATCGAGGTATAAAATGTTGAATTCATGAGACGTTAATGTTTAAAGATTATTGCATAAATATTTAAAGGGAAAACATTTTAATTTTAAAATCTTATACAATGTAAAAGACATATCAAAATACAGATTAATTAAAATATCTCGTAAAGGATGTTTAATCAAGGGCATAGCAGGGAAAGCTAGCAGTTTTATATTTGTATAAATTTTATGAAGAGTAAACCGGTATTTAAATAACAAAAACGTGGATTTTATCCAAGTGAAAAAATATACATGTTAACCTATGACATTATTAAACAGTGATAAGAAGGCTTATTTTGAAAATAAGGATCAGGAATCCATTGGTATCATGCTAATGCAATATTATTCAAGAACTATTTTCATGTTAAAAATAATACCAAATACAAACGTTTCAACCTACTGTTGTTCATTTCACAGTCGTTTTCAGGCAGCTTTTAATCACAGTACAGTGACTTTGATAAGGTTTGTCACACATTTCAGGTCGGTTAATCTTGTGACATTAATTAATCTATTAAATTTTAATTAATCAGCTGTGAAAAATTCAAATGGACAACAAGTTGCCGTGGCTGTGATCAAGCTAATCAAAACCTCCTTTAAGAATGATAATCTGTTTCACCTGAAAAAAATTACTAAATAGATTAGCCTGCAAAATAACGAGGTTTAGCTATTAATTTACTCTTTTTTGTAATTAATCC